ATTTCAACTTGGGCTCAGGGTACATCTAAACTGCAGAGTTTTTCCAGGATACCAGAGGTATCCCAGAAAAGCTCTGCAGGATCCAAGGAAAGTCTGCTTTTCCAAAAAAAATTTCAGAAAAGCAGATGTGTTTTTTCGGCATCCCTGTAAACCTCATTCTACAAGGAAGACAGGATGTTCCAAAAGAGGCTTTTTTTCTGACATTTGGCCCTGTGTACATGGGCCAGTTGTCAGAAAAGCCTCTTTCGGAAGAAAAACAGAAAAAGTGCAAACCACAATTTGCGTATCTTTTTCTGATAGAACTTTGTCGTCTAAATACAGCCTCAGTCTCTCAAGCCCACCTGACCTCCTGGGTCTAAAAGCCCAAGCCACAATGTCCGTACTTTTAATTTTAGCACATTAACTCACGTCCTGCTTTCACAAGCCTATCTATCCACCCTGGAAGGCTGGCATCCAGTTGCAGCAAAGACATGCTATTTGAGTTTTCACAGATTCTGCTTAGTACTAAAATATATAAAGTAGGATCTGCTTTTTTTGAATTTTCTAAATTGTATTAATAATAAATACATAAATAATAATGATGGAAATATATATGAAATGTTAAGAAATAAATGAGAAAGCAAAACAACCAAATGTTTTATATTTCAGCCCCTGAAAGTGGAACATCAATTGAACAATATAAAAATGTCATAAGCTTCCTGGTTAAGTGAAAATACTACTTGTCAAATTATGGAATTATGCAACAAGATTTAAAAATGTTGTGGGACACTTGGAGTTGGTGGTTTTTCCAGGAAATATTGTAAATTCACTCCAAGTTCAAGACAGTGTTCTACTCTTAAAGGAGTACAACAAACATCACACTTCTGTATAATATATTCAAATATTTGCTTGACAAATTGAACCATGGCTTTAAAGACCATAGTTAAAAAGACATGTCAAGACTGTTAGGCTCATGTTTAGGCTCAATCTTTGTTCATTACTCTATCTCTTTACTTAAAAATCTTTGTATGTTTAATTTTAAAAAACAGCCACCAATCATTGCAGCAATGAGCTATTTAAAAAGCTATCAAAACTGTACAGGTCCTGGATTTAAATTACAGCATGTGTACACAGTAGGGCAAAAGTTGAATTAAGATACACAACTTCAGCTACATCAATTGAGTAACTGAAATCAAAATAGCTTAATTCGGCTTTTTGCACTGTTTACACAGCAGGAAGTTGAAGAAAGAACACTCTTCCTTCAACTTCCCTTACTCCTCATGAAATAATGGCTTGCTGTGTTGATGCACATTTTGTTATTTCAAAATAATGTCAGTTATTCTGTGTAGATGTGCTGTGTAGATGTGCCTTTACTGTTAAAAATGAAGGATTCCTGTAAGAGGAAATATATTCACCAGAAGTCACCATATCATTTGGCTCTCCACTATCATGCTCCTGTAAAATTGTGAAATAGGAATTTCTTTTCAATGAGTCCTTTTGTTAGCTATTACTGGCTGATCAGTGATCCTAAAATAATTTTTGTAATACATAAAGCCCTTTTTAAAATATATAATAATCACAGTTCTTTGTTTAAGTTATTCTTATTCTTATTCTTTTCTAAATCTAAAATATTCACAATAATTAAAAAAAAATACTGGGACTGACTAAAAAGCCCCCAACAGTTTATAATAATTTATAGATTTCATATATATGCTTGCAAACTACTGTTCATTTGAAAAAGGGCTGCAAGTTAAGCTACCGAGAAAAGACAAAAGTAAGACCAACATAGATTTCTAACATTTCAGGGTTTTTCCTAGCTTGCCAAATAACTAGAGTTGCCACACACAAAAAGAATTTAACCCTATACACTGGCTAATGCTTGTCTGAGTGCTTGAGGGTATTTAGAGTTCAAGTGCTTGGAAGAAATAACTGTTAATTATTTATATTGTGGATTGAATCTCTGACACAATCACTATAGTGATTTCTCAAAACCAAGCAAACAGCTAATAATGCAAAACTTATATTAAATACAAATTATTGTCACTTTCCATGACTAATTCAGAAATGTCATCCTCCTTTTCATTATTTTTTAAATTAAGTCAGTCAACAATCCACTATAAATTGCAAACATAACAATGAAAGGAAAGTCACATGTCACATTGGTAAGTCAGGTTAGTCTGTCAGGGTATGTCTACACAGCAAAGTTATTTCTAAATAACAGCCATTATTTCGAAATAACTTTACCAGCATCTACACAGCCAAACCACTATTTGAAATTAAATCAAAATAGTGAAGGGCTTATTTCGAAATTGGTAAACCTCATTCCATGAGGAATAGCGTCAATTTCAAAATTGCTATTTCAAAATAATCTCTGTGTAGATGCTTATTTTGAAATAGGGGGCCTCCAACCCTTCCCAGGATGCTCTGGTGGCCACTCTGGGCACAACCAAGAAAACTCCTCTCTCTTCCCCCTTCCCTGGAGCCCTTAAAGGGGTACAGTCTGGCCACAGTGCCTGTGCCAGCTCCAAGCCTGCCAGCCCAGAGCCAGCAGTCCCTGCACCTGACCCAGTGGCCCCAGCATGAGTCAGGCAGCCAGTGCCAGCCAGCCCTACACTGCTCCCCAGAAGCCTGCCAGGGGCTGGAAAAGGCGGGCGCCTGCCTGGTCCAGTGTGGAGATCAGGGACCTAATTCAGGTTTGGGAGGATGCCTCCAACATCCATGATTTTCGCACTAAATGGAGGAATGCAACAATCTACAGGCGGATGGCTGCCAGCCTGGCCACCAAAGACCACATGCAAACCCAGGAGCTGGTTCACATGAAAATAACGGAGCTGCGGCAAGCATATGCCAGGGCCACAGTGGGCAGCTCCCAACCAGGGGCAGACCCAGACCCAGACTCCTGCCCCTATTTTCTCCCAACGAGGGGCAGACCCAGACCCAGACTCCTGCCCCTATTTTGATGCTGTGGACCACATCCTGGGGGGCAGGATGGTCAGTGCCCCCCAGGTGGTCATCGGCCCTGGGTAGAGCTTGCTGCCTCCTGCTGCTCCAGCCCCCACTGCCTCCCCAGCTACCGCTCCTTCTCCCACTCCTTTTCCTCCTCCCACTTCTTCCTTCCCACCCTCAGCACACCCCCAGCGATGCCGAGGCCCCCATACCCACAGTGCTGGGAGACAGTTGGGCCTGCAAGACCCCCAACCCTGGAGCCCTGAGCTTCTCCTCCCCCTTACTCCCCTTGCCTCCCCCTGCCAGCTCCCTCCTCCCAGGTTCTCCCCTCCCCTCTCCCACCTTCTTTCCCCAGTCTCACCTCAGTTTCATTGCCCCTCTCCCCCCAGTTTTGTTCAATAAAGAGGCTTTGTTGTAATGAACACGTGTCTTTTATTGTACAGCAGGAAGGGGGGTTAGGGAGGGGTAAGTGGAAGGATGTGAGGGAGGAATGAGGCACAAGTCCCCAGTGGGGCATACCAGGGAGACTGTTACTGCCTGCAGAACATGCTGCCAGGCTTGCAGCAACACGTCCAAGAGAAGCACCAGAGTGCCCAGGGGTGGCTCCGGCTCCATGCTGCAGAGTGCTGTGGTGTCCTGAGTGAGGGCAACCAGAGCACGCAGAGAAAAAAATGCTTTGTTGTCCCTCAGCGAGGTAGGAAAGCAAGCAGGGAAACCTTAGAACTGGCTGTCTGGGGCAGGTCCCTTTAAGCACAGGTCTCAGATAGCCTCAAGCAGCAGCCACACAAGGTAACTCCTGGCCTGATGCCCTGCCAGAACCAGTTCCGGCCGGCCTTGAATGCAATTCAGCATCCTATCAGTGTGGACACGCTATTTTGAAATAGCAAAATGCTATTTCGAAATGCATTTTGTGTCTAGACGCATTATTTCGAAATAAGCTATTTTGAAATAACTATTTCAAAATAAGATATTTTGAAATAACGCTGTAGTGTAGACATACTCTTAAAAATAAACTTACGTTTTAAAAGCACAAAGGAAACCACAACTTTCCTTCATGAAATCAGAACTAAGCCACCCAACCTGAATTTTTACAATTCTTGAAAGCATTATTTTAATCATTTTCACATCAGTTATGTTCAGAATGAAAAATACTTTTAACATCTGTGAACATGGACTTTGAAAAAAGGAACTATATCATATTATAATATATTGTACAGATTATACAATATACTACTTTAAAGCACAATTAGGAGAAAATGGGCTAAAAATTGTGATCAATGATCCATTAGGGAAAAAAGGACAAATAAATTAACCAATTTAATCATGATGATCTAAAAAAATCCATTAGCTGTGTAGTAGTTGACACGCTACATCAAAAGAGGTTGCTACAGTGATTTGTATTTATCATCAATATATTCTTTTGGAAACACTGAACTGAGAAAGCTACAGTCTGTAGGGCAGATGGGAAATAATTCACTGCATATGCGTAGAGGAGGAGGAGTCTGAGAGTTATAACATATATATATGCATACAAAGAACACATTCTTTTTTGAGGATATTAAGTACTCTACCACCTATAAAAGTCAAAACACTCCTGTGCACTCTGAATGCCCCAGTGGATGGCAGTGCACAGAAGCCAATCAGTGCTGAGTGACAGGGTTAATGTTTCACTTTTCACAAGAGTCCACGGGGTTCCATGAGATGTTACTTATAATAGGCTCATGTTTTTAGATGAAATCCATGTGCACAACGTAAGTAGATCAGCTCTTCCTCAGGTGATACTGACATGGCTTGTATTATAAAACAACAAGTATTCGAACTGCCAGTAACAGACAAAGAAACTACTTCCTTGAATCTAATTAAATGAAAGAGTCAGGTTGGGTTTTTAACCTCCTCTGTCAAAGATTTCCAGCTCAACTGTGTAGACCCAGGAAGTTCAAATAAGACCTTAGTACTTCTCTGAATCAAAAAACATAAAAGCTTTGGGGATTTCCCCAACATTAGTGAAAACTATCAATGCACTTGCATGGGAATATACTGTGCAAAGTTTGATACTGAATATGAATTATACTCACAGCATACTGAAATTTTTCATTATGTTCAGGATCATTGGCTTTCACCCTTCGCTCCTCCTCTGAAAAAAGAAAAAAAATAGCTTAGGAAATCAAATAGAGCTAAGAACAAATGTGTAAGAGACCAGTACATAAGTAACACTTCAATGACATTTAGAATCACCAATACAGAAAAAATAAAATTAAATCCCAATATAGTTCAATTTTTTTAAAGCTAATTTTCAGATACTTCAGATAATTCATTATTAGAGAGAGGTTTTTTTGTTTGTTTGTTTGTTTGTTTGTTTGTTTTCTGTTTCCAGGAATTCCTGTTTCAAATTTAAACCTCCAGATTTGTTCCTGGCCTGCAGTACTACATATCTGGGCTTGTTTAGTTTGGAAAAAAGAAGATTAAGGGGGGACATGATAGCGGTTTTCAAATATCTAAAAGGGTGTCACAAGGAGGAAGGAGAAAATTTGTTCCTCTTGGTTTCTGAGGACAGGACAAGGAGTAATGGGCTTAAAGTGCAGCAGGGGAGGTTTAGATTGGACATTAGGAAAAAATTCCTAACTGTCAGGGTGGTCAAATATTGGAATAGATTGCCAAGGGAGGTGGTGGAATTTCCCTCTCTGGAGATATTTAAGAACAGGTTAGATAGACATCTGTCAGGGATGGTGTAGACGGAGCTTGGTCCTGCCTTGAGGGCGGGGGGCTGGACTCGATGACTTCTTGAGGTCCCTTCCAGTCCTACTATTCTATGATTCTATGATATCAAAATGTGCAACCAACTAATTTTAATCTCACAAAATCCGATTCACTTCTCACTGAGAAAGTGACAGTGCATTCTGCAGTCGTGCAAAAGAATGTACTTAATTTAATATGCCACATTGGTATTCTCATACTTGACTAAAAAGACAAAATGGACGGTTGAGATAATGGGCTAAACTATGGCTCTTCCTTAGAAGAGCTCCCAGAACAGGAACACAGGAAGCCCCTCTCCCAGCACAGGAGGCAACCATCAAGTGACTTCCTGATTATCTGACTGCAAGGGGCAGAAAGTAATATTAAAAACACACACCAGAAAGGCTTATGTCTAACTAACCTAGGAACATCACCAATGCAATACAGGTAGTCCCCGGGTTACGTACAAGATAGGGACTGTAGGTTTGTTCTTAAGTTGAATCTGTATGTAAGTCGGAACTGGCGTCAGCTGCTGCTGAAACTGATCAGTTTCAACCGCGGCTGAATCTGCACGCCAGTTCTGACTTACATACGGATTCAACTTAAGAAACCCAGGCGTCCCCAAGTCAGCTCCTGCT